TTTCTGTTGTTCAGAGATTCAGGTGTGGCTTGGCAGGCAGTTCTGACTTGGAGGTCTCTCAAGCAGTTGCAGTCATATGTCAGGTGGAGCTATGGTCGTTGGAAGGCTTGACTGGGGCTAGAAAATCAACTCCACAGAGGCTTGCTTATGTGACTCGCTCTTGCAGCTGGCTGTTGGCAGGAGGCTGTAAAGACCTCTCCACAGGCTTGCTTGAGTGTCCTCCCAGCATGGTAGCTGACTGCCTTTAGAGCAAGAGATCCAAGAGAGAGCAAGGCAGGAGTCACAATGACCTAGCTCTCCAAGGTCATGTCTGCTATCTCCACCTTGGTCACATGGACCAGCCCTGATTTAATATGAAAGAAGACTACACAAAGGCATGAATACTAGAAGGAGAGGATCATTGGGGGCCATCTTGGAGGTTATCACACACATCATCTTTGAAATCACATCCAGTTTTTAATTTTGAAAAATTTCAAACATATGCAGAGGTAGAGAAAATAGTACAATGAACTCTCATATACTCATCATTCATATTCAGTAATTATCAAGGGAATTCCATCATTTATTTTGTATGAGTATCCCTGAGACACGTGTTCTTCCCATCCCATTCCTTACCCCCACCCTATACTTAGACCATTTAGACTAGTCCTTAGAGCCCTTTCTGTTTAAGGGATAAAGGAGAGGCAGATATAAAGACAGAAGGCCCCTTGGGGTGCCTGGGTGGCTCAGTCAGTTAAGCAGCTACCTTTGGCTCAGGTCATGATCCCAGGGTCCTGGGATCCAGCCATGTGGGGCTCCCTGCTCAGCAGTGGAATCTGCTTCTCTCCCTCTCCTTCTGCCCCTCCCCACCGCTAGTGCTCTCTCTCTGTTTGAAATAAATAAATAAATAAATAAAATCTTTAAAAAGGAAAGAAAGCAAGAAGCAAGCAAGCAAGCAGGCCCTTTACGCTGGACACCAGTTTCAAGTGTGGGTGTCTGCAATTCGGAGAGGTTACTGCAAATAGGGTCCTCAGTCAATCCTTTTTTTTTTTTTTCAGCTCATCCAGAAGTGACCATGCCATTTTCAAATTTTAATGTGCATACAGATCACCTGGGGATCTTGTTAACATACAGTTTCTGAATCAAGAGGCCTGGGATGGGACCCAAGAGTCTGTATTTCTAACAAACTAATAAGGTGATGCAGACCACACTTTGAGTAGCAAGATCTAGAGCTGTGCTGTCCAAATTGGTAGGCACTGGCTACCAATTAAATTACCATTTAAATTAATTAA